TGTAATATTATGCAGAAGGTTAGTTTTGCCGACAGTCGGACTAACAGATAGAAGACATACCGGTTATGATGTCATGCTGTATCCCCTGTACAGAGATGGTGGCTCCAGGCATGGCATGCCCCTTGTTGTTCCGCACGAAACCTTTAATGCCGATGTGGACCTGGTGTAGAAAATATATCTACTGTTCAGAAAATAAGGCATTCTTTTTTGTTTAACAAGAACACATCAATAATATATGTTTTTATCAGATCTTTCTAATTTGATGGGCTACGTGTGTTTAATTGATAATATCCAGCCTTTGGGCAAACCGTCTACATCGGATGGTAACCGGAATGAACCCACTGACGGCTAACCTGTTCCATGTAGGCCAGTAGCGGCTCCCTGTTGTCGTCCCACAGCCGAGGGAGCTCCTCAGGCGCAGGGAACTTGTCACACCCCAGCTCCAGCGCCACCTCTAACGCGTTGGTACCCAGGTAGCTGTAGTCTAACACGGCTGAGAAAACAGACGCAGAAATTACAATTAACTTTGTGCTTATAACAGGACATCTACTATACGTCCTCATCCCCCTGCTACATAATCTTGTGCAAGGTAGATTAGTATCATTAATCTCCAAGCAGATCTCTCGTGGGCAAGGCATTATCCAACCGCAACTAGAAAGGCCAATATTTGCTTTGGAGCAAATACAGCGATGGGTTCACCACATTTTACGACATGGCAGGGAAAGAATGAGAAACACAAGGGAAAACAATGATTTACATTGATATAACTATAATATGAAGTAACATACAACTAAAACAACAGTTGGATAGCTATTCCCTACTTTATTGGTTAGGATTTTTAATTGCATAATGCAAACTGTTGATTTTCAAAATAAAAAAAACGTTCATGCCCCGCATTCCAATGCTGGAGCAGAAAAGCTTGAAATACCTACCAAAACACTTGAATAAAGACATATACTGTCAGTATGGAAATGCTCTGTGCAGGTGTTATTAACAATCACATAAACTATGAAGCCATACATTGAATAAGCTATACATATAATATGATTATCATAACCTTTATTTTTAAAATCATGCCAGTGAGGTAATTGCATGTACAGAGTGAAAGAAAGTAAAGTAAAGCAGTAGAATTTCTGTACTAGCTATGATAGTACTTCATATGATTCGTCCTCATCGTCATCATTCAATGTGGTCTATCTCTTTGGCTATTAGTGAAC